ATGGAGGACAAAACGGTGGACTCGGTGGATGGCCGATGGGAGGAGAAAATGACAGACATTTCCCCGGTGGATGGCCTAGGAGAGGACAAAACGGTGGACCTTCCGGTGGATGGCCGATGGGAGAAGAAGACCAAAGTGGTTCATTTGGTCCATGGCAGAAGAGGCGCTTCGGTGGATTCCATCCAAATGGCCCGGAAGAGTTCGGACCACGTCCAAGTACGTGTAAAATACCAGAGTGTTAACGTTGCTGTGACAAGTTTCTTTTGTACCTGTTGTGTATCCGACAAACTAACCTATCACTGGTGTGTTTCAGGATTCTGAGAAGGCGGTATCAGTGCGGCAAAGGATAGTTTAGCATGTGATTGCTAAACCCTCAACTGGCCAGCTGCGAACTGATTACTCAACACAAATAAAAGTTTAAAAATCTACCATATTTTGCTCCTTTTACTAAGAACAGTATTTTTGCTTCTGTGCCAAGCATGACTGGATGGCGGAACCTTTATTTAGCCTAACGTTTCGACAAATTCGTCGTTATCAAAGGTCTGAATGCGTTTCGAAACTTCAAGTGTTACCTATCCGCTCAACACAATTACGCATGCAGCCAAGTTTTACCCATGCCAATTAATTAGAGTGGGAATCCTAACAAATGGCTACTCACTATAACTCTACCAGTGCCGATAATCGCTCAGCCTCCGTCAGTGACTCGAAGAATCAGTAGAATAAATGAGACCAACCAGTCGTGCACTGCTTATAAGGAGTGTACGTGCAGTGCACGACGTTCCCATTATCATAGCTCGCAGAGAGGGATATAGGGCAAGAAGTCGGCAGTTATGGAGATGCATTCATTTCTGTTATTCATGCATGGATTACGTTGCCTTATATAGAAAGCTTCAAGGGTCTTTCTAGCACCGATATCGTTTTCGTAAGCTAGTATCGTGCACTTCACACCGAAATCACTGCCAGCATGAGTTTCGCTTCTGTGCTCAGCAAGAGATGCATTCTTAGTCTTACTAAGATTCACATCGCTCAATAACTCGGTAAGTAGTGGGTTTCTTCACAGACACGTAAGATTCCTCAATGATCCCGTTATTAAGTGTGGGAACTCGGGAGGAGATAGCCCAGTAGTTTTTGAAATTTTGACACACATTCGTCGGACATCCTTCTGGTCCTATGATCGACTAGAACGCTCTGGAAACAGCACTACAAATTTGCACTGAATGGCCTGACAACATTTGCGTGCAGTTCTGACAAGCATTACAACACAGATAGCTTTCTTAATAAAAGTCTGACTCATGGCTGATCGAGAGGTGATGGCAAATGCCAACTGTTTCTTCACAGTCCGTGTGTGACTGGACACTCATCTTCGCATATTCGACCAATTTCGTATAGCTCAATGAGGCGCTGATGGAGGCGCTCGAACAGCGAAAAACCGCGCCGATGTGGCCTACATATTTTTTTCACCTGCCTTTAGAAAGGTTCTACCTGTTTACCAAACCCTACTGGAAAATAAGGTAAATAGAAACAATCATCCTAAAACTGTGACTATGAATTATCTTCTCCGAATACTTCCAAAAAACATTGCTTAAAAATCTAATGGTTGTGCGAGAGTCATAAGCGTTAAGCCAACTGCTGTTCAAGTGATTTGTAATCGGAAATGTTAACAGTTGTTCATACAAAACTTTTCTGAGGCTATCCGACTGTCTTCTTCTTCTCCCTAGCGTTAGTCCTGCGCAGTCGCAGGGTCCGCAATGCAGGGATAGCCGAGTGGTTAAGAGGTTAGACTCATGTCTGCACCTCTGAAAAACCGCGAGTTCGATCCCTGCCGAGGCTAACCATGCCTTGCAAAAATTGCAAAAATGGTTCTAGTACCAGCGTCAGGCCCAGGTTGACAGGCCAGCCGATAGAGACCCCCGTCGCAACAAATATGAGGCTATCCGACTGTGAGGGTGGTTGAATACAGGGGTGGCCAAAAAAAAGAGACACTTTGCCCATGGCGCACATCATCGAACTTTTCGTCGCACAGGGTGCCGATGTTAATGAAAGTTTTACGGCGAATATTCCTTAGGTGTTCCCCCGTAAGCAGAAGCAGGCCCTCCTTCACTGCCCCCGCCGTCTTCAGAATATGACGTCATCTGCCGCCACCGTCGAGCTCAACGAGGCTTACCGTAATCGCTCCGGCCTGAAGCTGCTACATAATTTCTTCAATGGATTAACTGTGAATAGCTTCCAGAGACATTAGCTGTGACTATGCAAAACCGCTTTTGACCAGCGTTTCAGGGACGTCGTAATGGTCTATGGTACCTCGACGACCTCGTTGAGCTCGTACCGTGAACCATGTTTCCGTGGGAAAATCTTCTGATGTCGTCGGTGTAGAAGGCTGTCATGTAAATTTAGATAGATTAGAATGTGCTCTTCAATACTGAGTTGGGGGCAGTCGATTTGATTTTAGCAAAGTGTGATTAATGCTGTCTGAAATGTGGAGTCAAGTGTCTCTTTTTTTTGGCCACCCCTGTATGTCGGATCGGACTAGATTCAACCGTCCATTACTAATTTACTATCGAGGGATATTTGTACTTGGCATTTTGAAGGTGGTCGCAGATGGGAATGGCAAAGAATGTCGACTGCAGTGAACAACTGAGCAGGTACGGAATGCCCTTCCCTCTCTTCAATGCCGTCCTTCTCCACCGACACAGGTCTTAGTTCCCAGACCGGGTCAGTTTCCATACCATTTTGGGGGAGGCGGAGAGTGTCATGTCGTGATGAAATGGGTGCTGCGTAAAACAACCATAGCTGGATAGGGGTTGAGGAAACCCAGGAGGGGTATCATTTCTTTCAACATCACGGACACAGTTTGAATCTCGAAACGTTATGAAAGTGACCGCTCTGAACCACGGCGCTCTTTGCCAATCAAGACGACAACTAACTCATTCGATCGGTTGGTCTAACAATTTTAGGATATATTGTTAGCCTTTGCGTCAGGTAAACATGGAACTCGATCTGGTCCCCAACTGAAACTTGCGCTCAACGCAAATATCCGCTGGAAGGTAATGTAACAGGTTGATCTGTGATCTCAGCGGTAGCGAAGTGGCGCTCGTGCACCCTCTACGGAGCAATGTTGATCGTCAATGCACTCATTGCCCTAGGACTCATCCACAGTACCTGCCGTCGAATGCTGCGTTATTCGCAGTGAGTTGAGCGATTAATCCCCCATCCTTGTTAGCTCACTCTTGAGCTTTTGTCTATATTATTGCTTACAAGTGTAAAAATATTTAAACATTTTCCACCACAATTCTAGATAGAGGCATATTTGGGAACTGACTATGTGGAGTCCTGCGTTCGGAAACCCACTTGAATAAACAAATGACTAGATAAACAAATAAACAAATAAATTCAACTTGGTGTAGTAGCTGTCTACCAATATTTGAAAAAGCAGAAAGCCGTTGAGAACTTTGAAAAGGAAAATTCCACGATATGGTCGGAGGCCAAGGAGGAGAAGCACATCTCTGAGGAAGGCAGACGGCCCCTAATTGAATGGGACAATGCGTGTTCCTCGCCAAAGGCCCCCAGCAGTCTACCAGGGCCACATACGCTCACGGCGCTCCCTGGCCGCAGACTCTAGCCGCCTAACAGAGAGAGCGTCAGTGTTAGTAAGGTCAGCGCCGGTGAGATTGCTGATTGTGCGAGATCACTTCGCGCCAGCACTCAAGATAACGGTCACGGCTCACCACATGTTTTGCACAAGGAGGCTTCCAAGGAAGGCTCCCTTACAGGATCTCCAGCTGGGCATGGGAAAGATAGGAACACGACTATTTCTGCTGCACTTACTTCACCAGATATGAGCCATTTACATAAGGATACCTTATTCTGGAACCACACGCTCCGGTATTCAGTGTAAGTCCGCTTGGGGTACGTTTCGGAAGCACGAAGACGTTTGGATTTGATGAAGACCACCTGATGGCTCAAGTCAAGGTATGCTTGTGGTATCTTCAGTGCGCACTTTACTGCTTAGCCTGATAATAAAGCCTGATTTGTGAGCAATTCATCCTGAGCACCTCGATCACTTGAATTCTAATTGCAATTGCAAGCGGAATCATTCTTTTCAAGGAGCGAGTTGTGAACAGATTTGACACCCAGCTTCGCGGTCCTGGTAGGAAGACTCGTAGAAGTACATCTAAGAAAGAAGACCTTATCTTCTTCGAATGCCGTCCGAGGCAGTCTCTGGAACATCATTTACAAAGTAGCTGGTGCTCTACATTTTTCAATTTTTTAGGTAGAATGTGTTTGACAAATCTTCTGGCTATTTTTGGCGCGTCCGCAATATCACATAAAAGTTTACTCTCATTTCAGGCCTGTTTATATAAGCGTGTGTGCGTTTTGTAATGGGTAGTATGTCTTGACAAATCATTTGCGAAATAAGAAGCGACTGAGAAATGGAAAAGGAGAATCAGTGACAACGCTGTACATCGCTTGGAACTGCCTCGGAACACTTGCCCGCGTTCTGCGATCAGTATGA